TTACTTCAAGACATATTCAGCCGCTATAAAAAGAGATGCATTTCCGTCAACCTCGATCTGGCGCTTTCTGTTCTCCCATCGCTCGGTATCGTTCTTAATGAACTCTTAGTACTATTCTGTACCGTAGACTCCTGATACCATAATCAGACGGTAGATTTATTCTCTCACCTTGATGTGTCCACATGGACCAAAAAAATTATGCACATTCTGCTCTCTGATCGCTGGTCCTATGATCCGAATCGGGAGCAGCTTATGCGAATTTATTCGGCGTCCAGTTATAAGTATTTTTAAGTACTGTAGGCCATTATTCGTTGAACCGCCGACTCCTATTGCCCTCCTGCACAGATCCACTAGATCCTGTAGTTCTGCTCGTAAGGTTCCCTGAGCATGACCAATTACTGAAGCGAATGATTCCTGCATTCTATTTTACGTTTTGACATCACCGTAGTTCTTTCTTCAAGCCCTGAAAGGGAACCGTCCCAAAGGTGTTATCCATTGTTATGAGGAGTGATTATCGAGGTACAATTGCGGCACGGTAACCCCCCTCCCCCGCACTGAATAATTTTATCTCCAAGCTGTTTCTGAATGAATTGATAGTGTTATTCGTGTAGTTTCTCACGATGAAATGTAACAGTCGGTAAGGACAGAGAATCAGAATCGTCAAGGCTTTCTGCGTCTCTGTCGATGTCGATGCTCGTATACACACTGTTATGTGTATGATCCTAGACCCGAATGGGGAAGAAGCGCTGCCCCAAGCGGTGCCACAATCACATGCGCGGTCCGCGGATCGAATCCCGGACTGATAGAGAAGCCATCGACTTGTGATTGCGGACTCGCCTGGGAGCTTAGAAGCACTGACTTATCCATCGCATGTCATTGTATCCATCGCCTAGGTACTGGAATCCATTTTTAGGAAAGCAAATTAATCGATAATCGAATGGCCCCCCAGTCCTCTAAAGAGAGCATGGCCAACAAATGGCAAGATTACAAATCTGATCCCAGAATCGTTTAGCGGTATTTTTTGGGTGACGCATACATTCACCCACGTAGGATGAACAATAATAAAAACGGGTTTAACTCTCCATAATCACTATAAACATGTGGGATTAGGCCTCAGAATTGTGCTCCACTAAAACTATATAGTGTCTCAAAAGCCACTTTTCTGATCGTTCCTGGAGCGGCTATTGTGTCCTCGAAATATTTCAGGACTTGATTTGCAATAGACTTTCGAAGATTACGGTAGGAGTACAGTGCTTTTTCCACCCACCTGTCCGTAGACTAGTCACCTTATTGAGAGAGCAGGACTAGATCAGATTTCACCGTCTCGATCCGAGTTTCTCTACATATAAGTATTCTCGTCATTCGGTTTATCGATTTGTATTGATTTTTCAAATGCACCTATTACAGTTGTACACCATGGGAATGGACACAATTCAACCGATAGAATTGACTCGCGCAACAGGTACGGTATCTTCGGGTCCTAGTCGATTAACATAAAGTTCCCAGAAATTGTTCTTGATAATCCTTTAGGCGCTCTCTCAAAACGGCCTTACGTACCGCAAGAACCATTGACATGCGGCCAAAAAGTTAAGCGATGGTTCAAAAAATACTTCCTGGAAGGTAAGTTACCAGCAATCGATTATCGACCCCAAAAGAGGCAACCACCGTAACCCTTCTTTAGGACAGCACTTGGAAGAGGAAGCCGAGGCCGAATTGCAAAAACTACCAGAAAATCCAACGTGGGAGGATCTGATCTTCATCAAGTACCGGAAGTTCGTGGCCATGCTCATCCCGTTCACTCTCATGCAGGTACCACTTTTCCCCGTCCGTGACTTCTACCTACAGAAAATCAGTAAATGTTTTGAAGACTGTCTGGTGGATGGTTGCTATTCGACAAAACTTTTTCCAATGGTATCCGGACTACTGGCATATGCCCGTTACGATGATCCTTGGCTCGTTTGTTGGAGGTTTGTGGAAAGACGACGACGTATCGACCTGGAAGTAAACCTTCAGTTTTCCAGGGATGACATCAGAAGGAAGTGGAGCTGTAGCGTTCCCGGTCATGACGTTAGCCCTTCACATTGCCCCATCGATAGCCAGGGACTTTTCGCTCATGATCCAATCATGTGGTAAGCAAATGCTAAAATGATTCTGAACCGAAACGATGACAGTATACCGTAAAATTCAATCAATAATTGATCGATTTCAGGCATGACATCGGCACTGATGTGTGTGATGTTCATGAAGGTAAAGATCGAAACCCGCGCTGTGATACTCGGTACACTTGGAGCTATTCCCGGCTTTATAATCGGAGTGCATTTCGTAAGTCGGCTGAAAAAATCGATTATTGATTAGTCCATTTCAATGGGTTCATCGTTGCAGATTGATCCACTATTCACTGGACCCCAAAAGAAAATGATGTTTGTGGCTATTTGGACCTCGTTCGCTATCGCCCTGGGAATTCTGAACTCCCAAAAAAGAACAACCTTCAAGGAGATCCCTGATTTCTGTGCGTGGAAGGCCGTAGTGCTGTTCGTCACTGGATTTGTTGGAGGTGAGTGGAGTTGTGGGATGAGATCAATCGATAATCGATTAATACCAGGCTGAGTAGTGAAGTATGATCTTTATAGGAGTCTTCGATGCATTTGCCGGTTCGGGTGTCGATATTTGCATTTTCTCGATCATTACCCTTCTCTTCCGTGTGACTGAAAAGACAGCAACACCCACAACTGTTGTGCTCAAAGGTTCGTTTTCCCAAACATATTTTCAGGAACCTCCTTTTCGTCTAGAAAATCTCCTTAGTCCCGATTTTCTACCCTAATTTCGATTGTTTATAATGTCTTTGGGGGTAGATCCATGCCAGTAATTTCGATTGTTTATAATGTTTTTGGGGGTAGATCCATGCCAGAGCGCCTGGAACCGGTCGCTTTCCAATACAGCGCCATCGATAAACAAAGGAAAAATAACATCAGAATAACAATAATGACTGATCGGAGTGGGTAATCTGTTCGGTCACCGCTGAACAATTATCAAATGCATAACAACAACTAGATATGAACAATACCAACTTCTATAAGGCAATGCCTACATGGTTTAAAATGAGAAAATCAGTACGGGCCGCGAGCGGTTGCGATGCGGTAACCGTGGACTTAGACTCTGGGTTCGTCAAGCGTATGTATGTACAGCTTCCGCATTGGGCGCTGGAGAGGTCAGTGGCAAGAGGGAGGGTAACATTGCAGAAGGCCTTATCTCAGTAAATTACAGTATCCCGACAGCGACTGCAACCGAAACAGTTCAGCCGTCGTGAATATGCAGAACATTTCTTCAGTCTGTGCATAGCCTAACGTTAGTATTTCAGGTGTAAACGCTGTCATTGGCTTCTTCTATCGTGCTGCAATGATGGGTGATATCTCCCAAATGGCTTGGACATATTTTGCACTGTCTATACCAGTTTCGTCATTCACGGGACCAGTTGGCAGCTTTCTCGGATCACATCTTCATCGTCAGGTCAGCCCCTACATTCAAGCCAGCCCGTACCACAAAAATTGACGTCTATGAGAGATTCTGCGGAGTTAGGAATATATAAAGGAGGATATTCTTCTATGGAATATGTGAAAAACGTGGTTCCTCTTCAGGTAGTCGCTGCAATGGTATACATTTTGGAAGTAATCGCTCTTATCGGCTTCCTATGCACCAAGCCCACATGGCAATTGATTGCAGTAGGAGGTGAGTTCCAAGTTGTGATCACGGTTAACCAATCAATAAGTTTCTTTTCTCAGGATGCATTATCTTTGGCGGCTTCGTGTTCTTCTCGTTCATCTCGAAAGCCGGTCAAAATATAATGAAGACCGTCGAAGAAAAACAGTTGCAAGAACGACGACAACCGAATGTCTGATTGGTTGATGGCAGACAAGCTGCGGAGTGCTCTGATTGGTCACTTGGTGACGCCGTGCCTTCGGCTGCATTGTTGTTTTCTTTGTTTCGTTTCTTACCTCAATCATAACCAGAAATGGGTTTTTGAGTTGTATATTATTCCACTTGACTTTGTTATGATCTCTCAAATGAATATTGCCAACTAGCTTCGTTAATCGATTCCTCTGAAAAATTGATTGAAAATTCAATCAATATTTCCTCATGCTCGAATAGAATAAAACAAACACTTTCGGGAAGTCCTATTGTTTTACTTTGACTGTTCTGGCGTAATTTGCGATGAAGCCGGTATTGCTCCTTCAACGAAGTAGCTTCAGCTTTGACAAAATGCGAAAGGTGCTAATCGACTGGTGAGGCGTGCGCCATGCACGTTAGCGCCGAAGAAAAATGTGTAGATTGATTACAGCGTTTTCTTCGATTCTTAACCTTTGTAGTCCAAGCTTTCCTACGACTTGAGGAATATTACATACTTTCCACGATAGCAGTTTGTGAACTTGGTTGTTCGCTAATTGTGTGAGTGCTTTGTAAACCGATGTAAAAGAGAGCGATGAAGGAATTCTTCAAAACTTTATAGAAATCACTTGGAAAAGAGCTGATATTTGGGTTGGTTCTAAGAGCTCCACGAGGATTAATTGAAAAAAAGTAAGCATTGGACGAGTTTTCCGCTGGCTACTGTTGGCACTATGCCAGTCGCCATCGGGATAGGATAGTGTTGCTGTTGCATTAGCCTCTCCATGGCTAGCCTTTGTACTTATTTGTAAACCTTGGGTCGCTCTAGCCATTACTAATGAAATGAAATATAAAGATACTACTCTGTGTAGCTGACTCGAAGGGACTATTTTAACGACCTTTCAACGAATACATGTTCGTTATTTAGAGACAATTTCGCCGCCATCACAATTCTAAAGCAGAAGGCTTTCTGATGGCGTAATAGATCATACGCAATGCGCTTCTTCTTTGAGTATGGCGGTACTCTCTCCGAATTTCCACCGGAAGCGGCAGTGGTCCGTGGTGACTACCGTACCTTTGCGAGCGACTTTGGGTGCTACGAGCGCGACGCGATTTTCGGAGAGAACTACCTACAACCTTTATTCGGCCGTCGCTAAATGTAAATCAAGCCTTGATGAAGACGAATAATTTCCTCTGACGGCTTTGACGCCATCTTGTTTTCACAGTACATTGATTCATAATGAAATACGATTTATCTCTCGTTCACTATGTTCATGCACTGAAAAATGCAGCTTTTGAGGTCGTGAGCAATACGGAAGTGAACGTTGACAGATCAAATGGTTCCGTACGGTCGCGGGGTTAGGCTATCTTTGTCACACGATCGACGATGATGACGCTTCCATCTTTGGCCAAGCAAGAAAGCATCGTCTCGAGAGATAGATGGTTCAGGGTCACGATGTAATAGTTCAACGACAATCAACAACGAGAAACAAATGATCAAGGAACGACTGAAACATGAATCCCTACAGTCGTACAAGTATCACTTCTATATTTTGTGTGGGAGGGAAGAGTTGTGGGAGCAATCAATAGCTCAGGGATGTTCTTCATAATGCCTTTGAGGAAAAGGTTGAGGTGATCTGATCAGCAGCACAGCCTCAAATCTTAAATGCTGATTAGGTCCATCTGACCATACGGGCCCGAAAATCCAGAACTTTCTCGAAACCCAGAGCTCGAGCGGCTCGAACTGGTTGGAGTCAATCCGACGACCGGAACAGGCGCCATAGTGCAGGGTGCCTAGTCTGCTCACAATTCCAATTTAATTTTCGACCTTTTTGTAGTTCAACTGTTCCGAACTCTACAGATTGTGCACTTTTACACAGTTTTTAAGTTACATGATGTACGCGTTGACCCACCAAAAAACCTCTGAGCTGCTCTTCAATGATCTGCAATTGATTGCCAATAAACGGCAACCGTCATTTCGAGTCACTTCGCAGCCTGGAGTTCACCCTGTCTCGATTGAAACTTGAACCCATCTTTCTGTCCCTGGAGCTTTCTATAAAACCTCATCGTGTTTGTTTCTTTTGTGTTTGTCTTCGTCCCTGCTTGAGCTGGTACCGATCGCTTCACATCATTTCTTTGTATTTTCTGTTACAATTTCCTTTCTACGACGATCAAACGATCATACTTATCTCTCTCTAACGATAATTTCTATTTGTGCAGAAAAGGGTCCGTAATACCCGTACCCGCGAGATTCTATTCGACCAAACTTTAGATTGTTCTAGAAGTGAATTCGTGGATAGCTTCCGAGGGATTATGTTGCTGTGGCATAGTGTCTTTAAAACTCACTCATAAAAAAAGAAAACCATTTTTGTATCAGAAACAATGCCATAGTAATGTCGTTGACGCTGTAAATGATTGCTACAATACCTTACTAGAGATGCTTCACATTGTTGTTAAATGAAAACTAGGCCCAGCCATGCCTCAGAATATAGAGAGAAATCAAAAACTGGTAATGCTCCACATTCCTCTGAACCTTGTTGTAGCCTTGGCTACCTTTCACTGGCCACTAGACCTTCTTCTCTTCCGGGCTTTAAGATCAGAGGATTTGAAGCCAGCAAAGAACCTAGGAGAACCTTCAAACTTTACGCGATTGTCGGCTGCATGGCGCACTATTGCATCTTTTGTTTCGTGCTGAGTTTCTATATGTAATGGAGCTATTTTTTCTAATATTACTAACAGACAGAGTGTACATTTCAAGTGAGAGTGGAATCTTCATTTGTATGCTCCATACATTACCTGGGGAGGCGTGTATTTAATAGTTCATTTTTATAATTTATAATTATGAATAATTACGGTTTATTTCCAGATCCATGCAAGCCGCTCAAATGCGCTCCAATCGAATGACAGATGTTTGCAAGCCCTTCGGGACATGGGCAAAGCAATGGTCCTGGCATTCTGGCAACAAGTACAACTCATGGCTCACACTAAAGAGGTTGGTGTACATTTGAAATCATCTTTTAGCTGTAAAACAATATTCAGTTAATATTTATCTCGAGAATAAGCCCAGAAAGATAGGATGGGATCTTTATTGATTTGTTCGATTGATCAACAATCACCGTAGCAGAAAATAGCGGTTTCTCAGTAGACAATGATGAGATCAACGACCCGAGAGAGAACGTTTAGTGTCGTATGATGTCAGAGATCAACGTTGACCAAAAAATGCGGAAGAATATCGCTCAACACGGAACTCTATGGATAAAGGAGAACTGTGATAGGGAACAGTCGATATTGGAGGGAAAAATCATGGCAAAGAGCTAAAGGGAATCGGTGATTCACCATCGTAAATCACCTAAAGAACCCCTAACCAAGACTTCGTTCTCTGAAGCAAAAGCCGTTCATTTCTCGTTCATCGAGCAGTCACTCCCTAGCGAGATCGCTGCAGGACCATCAACAGGAGACCTACAGTAGACCTGGCTTGATACCGGCAGTAGGGCGATAGGTGTCTTTGTCATCTCGCTGGAGCTGAGTACCAATCAACGGCATACGGCGTCCCATACCCGACTTTTTGAACTCCGTTACCGTCAGTAGTCCCAGAGGCTCCATCTTCGGACCCCAGACCCTGTTCAAACTAAGCAGTTGTCTCGCTTGCTGTGACCCGGTTTTGGCGTGATTACAACAACAACTCCAACTAGCGCTCTATACTCCTACAACTTGACAGTCACCGATTTTGGGGTTGGGATGTACTCAGTGCCTTTACGGCCAGCTCATAGCATGGGGGAGGAGTTTCTGGACGAGCTTCCTCGTTCACCTGTTTGGACATCACGGTTTTCGTAACAGGACACGATCCTGAAAATGCAGCAATTAGCAGCCATCGACCCAATAAATCGGACCTCATCTATTGGGTGGATGCATTATTGATTGCTTGGATAATCAATATGGTTTCTCACTTGATTGCTGACAAACTTCCACAACCCACAGCTGATCGTAGGTGGGTGGAGGTGAGCTTTGGGCCCCTTGATCTGGCTGTTGATGTTTAGCCGATAGCAGTTGGAACAGGACGTAGTTCTGGAAAACCATCAATAGCCACAAGTTCAAGGAGAGCATGCTAAAAAAAAGTAGGATGTCCGCTTCTAAAAGGTGAAATATTGGCGGAAATAAGCGTCAGTGGTCCTGTTAGACTTGACGAGCGACATTCTATCCACGTCATTCGCAAAGTATAAAAGTTCACCTCGGCGAACTGTAGGAAGACGGCGATAATGACAAGCACCAAGCGAAATTCGGCGTTCTCATTCCCGATGTCCGTTTCGTGAAGGCTATAGAATAGAGCGCATAACGACATTACGATCTGAAATGATCGATTATCGATTGTTGACAAAAATCAATATTTCCTATCAGGTCATCATTACCTTGTGGACTCCATCAGGTAGCATCAGGATTGGATGATTCAGATAGAGCCCAGTAATTGCGATTCCAAACATACACGATGCTGAACAGTATATCAAATCCAGAACGAGCCCAAAGCAACCGAACAGCCATGTAGCGATTATCAGACCGTTTGTGTAATTTATCACAGACAGCAAACAGTATGTGTGGCGACACTAAATGGTCATCGATCGACCAATTATTGATTTATCGATCGAACAGAGCAAAACATTCTGATGTTGCCCACCTGTATCTCTTCTAACCATGCGTTACATCGATTGATCGCCTCTATCATGATGAAATGTGGGTTCATTTTGCAACTGAACGTTTGAAAAATAGAGAAAAAAGTCAAGGTGGACTAATCGATAATCGATTCGACTGCGGAATTGAACGATCTCACTCGAAGAAATGGATATGAAAAAGATGACAAAGACGGTGTAAAACTGAGTCGTCATGCAATCAAAAATCTCCAGAGTACTACATTCAGATCAGGCTCGTTCGGTTCAAACCCCTCCCATCGTTCTTGCCCTATAGTACTTCAATGTAGGGTGGGAAGGCACTGGTTGCTCAAGTAGTTACCATAAGCGAAGCCAGTAAAAGAAGTATCACGGACCGATGGAGCCTGCCCCCTATTTGTCCGAAAAGTTCTACCTTATTATTAAAAACCTTTACAAACTATAGCTATTGATCGGTAGGTGAATTATTCACCCTAGTCGCCCAATAAAGAACTAGGTTTCGATGACGAACATCGATCAGTAAGTCGTCGTGGGCGACACTTTTGTAAAGGAATGCGACCAGTTGTCGTTAATGTGCATATGCTACAGTATGCTGAAGGAGATAAGAATCGTCAATATATGCTACAGTATACCAAACGAGATAAATAAACATGACACTGATTTTCTTCTAAATCCTAATCTTCAAATTGGAACCCATGAGATCGAACTGGATCCAAAGCCATGTTTTCAACGGGATTTTCTGTTTTTGTCCATTTTCTTCTCAAAATTTAACTATTTACGAAATTTGAAGAAAAAACTAACTCAAATCCCAAGTGAGGCTGCAGGACGTCTCAGGTCCTATCTGATTCCAGAAGGTCTGGGTGATATGTGGAGAGGTATATTAGAACAAGACCTTTCATGAGAAAATGAAAAGTACTTGTTTACCGTTATGTGGGTGCTACTACTCATATGTGTAAGTGTAATTTTGTTTATTGGTGCTTTGTTTACCGTTATTTTATTTATGCTCACTGATTTGCTTTTTTGACTTCTGAATAGATCTATGCATAGTGGCAGAACCTTGATGTAATCACGGACTTAAATTTAGAGAAGAGAGTCTGCGGAAGGTTCAGGTGCCATCTAAATAGGAATACTGGTGAAATTAGAAAAAAGTAATTCACTAAATTAATAAGATACGTGAACATAGTATGGTCAGGTTGAAAGGTAATCATGTCAGGTACGTCAGCTCTCATTACCGAGCGCAGCATTGTTTTTCTTATTCGGAGATCAGCGCGAACGGGTATCCGGTTTTTTGTTTCGACGCCATCACTTGAACCTTGATCGATCACAGCATCAGGTCGGTGGTGTGGCGAGCTGCCAACTTGGCAGGAAGTGGTGGCTCCCGGGTAAATACTATCCAAACAAGGGGATCCTTTCTGTCGAAAAGATCAGGGAAGATTAGAGTTTTGGTAGAGTTTGGTAAGATTAGTTTTTGGTGGTTTTTTTTTCTCAAAACCTCGTCATCGGTGTTCCGGGAGTCACCGAGAGGGGCAAGAAGAGCTCACGGTTTATTCACATAGAGAAAGGTGCTCATTTTGATTTAAGAGGATACGTTGAGGTAATACGCGGTTGACCGCAAATTTCGTTCCCACCGAAAATTCTATACATTTCAGAGCTATAACTGTCTGCCAAATAAGAAAAGGCAGTCTAAAGGTCTTTGATTATGGATGATGACGAAGGAAGATTCTAGAAAAACAAAAGGACAATTACTTTCAATCCTGTTTTTCGTAATGCTCTTTAAATATGGGCCATAACGTTTGGAACATTCTGAGAAGTTTACGTCTCTTTTATGCTTTGCTACCTAAAAGTTGTATAAAAACGCCTGCGATGAATATTCTTTGCGGCCACCCAATTTTCATTTTCAGTTGGAAGTGCTCGATCATTGAGGGACTGCTCTACTGCGTTGGCTAGGCAAGTGCTGTTCTATGAGAATGGCGGTGATGTCGGAAATCGTGGCTTCCTAGTTCTGTTGGTAAAATGGCAACATCACGGTTGATAGCTGCGGTATTGCATATCTGGATTACACTTCCAGGTTTCCAACAATTTGTCGTTTTGTTTTTTGTTTACTCGGGTCGGAAATACCTTTTTGCCACTTTTGTTGTTATATGGTTGTAAACCCATGGAAATCCGATAGGATTGAGCTCATACGGCCTTCAAGGTCTACTGTACCCGCGGCAGCATGGTGAATCGCCAAATGTTTGGCTATGGCCTTTTGATGGCTTTTTCGATTTGCCTGATATTTAAGTACCGATGGCTTAGGTATTCGACTCTAAACACTTAACCCTCCGATGAAAACAAGTTGCGTAGTTTGCCTTCCTTTTCCTACTTGCAGATTTAGTCAATGGGAGAATGTTAAAAATTGTCTCTTATCTATGCAACTCATTTTCTTTGTCGATTCCTGAATTCTTTCGGTCACCCACCTCGAATAATAATGTGAAGCGACCCTCGCCGGAACCAGAACGTCTATCAGAGAAAGTCTTCTCGTCCGTTCCAACTTTGTCATTTTTGAACTGTGCAAACTAACAATCTCCATATATGACGCAATTTCGCAAGTTTAGAGTATTTGAGGCTTTATCGGGGGGCGGACTAATGAAGGTGGTCGGAAAAGCTGGTTTTTTTTTGCCGCTCGGAAAGTGTGGTTCAGAAGGCTGGGTTCGAGGCAATCTAATTTTTTGAAAATATCTAGCACATCCTTGGGGGTCAAACAAAACTCCAGAATGTTGTGTTTTGATTGGTCTTGTGACACACTACAGTCGATATGTACCTGAATACGCACACGTAGCTGGCGTACTGAAGCCTGCAGAAACCCCTCCTGGACGAGTAGTTTTATGAAGAGGACGAGATAATCGCTAGCTACCGTATCCATTTCACAGTGCACTCTACAGATTTCTTGCCTACATTGACATAAATTGCCTTATTTTTGCACGGATCTCAAATAATGACTTATTGGTGGATTATTTCCTCCTTTGCAAATTTCCAAGCCTAGGCTAAGCTATTCGCCATAAGAGTTAGAATAAAAATTCCTTGCCGATAACAACAATTTACAGTAGACCACGAGCATTGGGAAACCTCGGACTGTGTGCCCCATGAGGGAAAACCTTTCTGAACCTTCAGTGTGTCAAGAATCGGAACGTGATCCCGGGATTGAAAACTGGCTAGAAATTCCTTGACCTTTACCTTGAAAGTGTGTTCCCTGATATTCGATTTGGGGGCGGAGGAGGTTTGTAAGTACTAACCAGAGTTGACTACCGTAACTGAATAATAGTGCCAACATGCAATCAAACTTCTTACTTTGATCTTGAGCAGAAATCAATTTATGACCGACTCTCAGAGGGAATGTTGACTGCGCCTGGACGTTCGCTTTCTATTTTCCCTATAATTTTCCCTTTCTTCTCTTTTCTCCTATAGATTTGATCGAAGAACTGGGAAGCTGATCGGATGGATTAGTTTCGCGGGACAACGTAACCTTGATCTATCATCTGACCACATTGTCGGCGACGGTCTGTTTGTTTGCACCCAGAGGAAATAGAAGCTTTAAATAGAACACGTGCCGAGAACCAATATATCCTTATCAAGTGGGGACAGCATACGACCATCACCTCCATGTGAAGTGAGGATAGGCTGAGATGGATCAGAGATCGGAATTGCATCAGTAAAAGGAAAAAGCAACTGCTACAAAAATGAACTCTAAAAGTGCCAGATGCTAAACCTCGAAAGCCACCTCGATCTAGGGAGCTTAGGGTGCAATCATGTCGATCAGTATTTTGCGTGTGTTTGTTGTTGCATGAACATCTATCTTACTGGCACAAGTCGATAACCATTGAAATTTCAGTTGCTGTTACTGTTTGTAGGGTATCTAACCCTTAGAAGGCTATATGAAGCATTGTTGGGTCGAAATCTCACTATACTCAACACTTCCATGAGAGGACGAGTTCACCGACCTTGCGGAAGCTGATGTTATTCACAATAGAGCACGTTTGTTGTAAGTGCAGTCAGTCTCTGCTACTTCTACAACAGGTAAAATCTCGTCCAGACAACTCTTTTCTCGCCATAATCATGTCCAACCTGGATAGCTATGGGTGACCTAGCATTTCGTTATTACTGCAGCTTTTTTTCTGTTTTCTTTACCATCGATGGAATATTCCGCAACAACACTTCTGCCTTGTAGACATACAGGCCGGTAAGGCTATAAAAGGAGCATGAATATACCGCAAACTCGCCCTCGAAGTGGGAAGCATTCGTCCCGGGTTACGTAGTGGGAATACTGAAGTTCTCGCAGGAACTCTCCGATGCTTGGCCCCATAGCTTATTGAAGCTGCTATCTGTACGAAACTCGATTCGACTTCGCTATTGATGAACGATTTCCTCTCTTCGAGCTTATTCATGTGATTTCATCACGAGGTCTACAAAATTGACTCAGCAGTTTTTCTCTCTCAAATTTTTCATCTACTGCGAGCTTTGGGTTTTGGTAGTAATCCGATGGCGCGCTGATGTCCCATAATGTCTTGATTCCGTAATCACCGACTAAATAAACGGAACGCAAGGTTCACATCAAGCAAACTCAGACCCCGACATTACATCTTCGCTCTCTGATCTTCTAATACCGTCAGATAATCAGATAATCCCGGGTTACTATTTGAACGCTGGTGAAGCCGATGAAAGATTCAGTTGGCATCGAGTCAATCCGCAAGACTGACTTCTTTCATTCGATTTCCACCTCGTTCTCCTACTCCTTTACTTCACCATGTCTTACTCTTGGGCATGAGTCTTGTAGGAAAACCACTTGAACTCTCCCTGACTCTGATCAATCCTGCTTTAAGTGCTACCTAGAAATGGCGGTCCCTAGAAGATTAACATTAACATTAGGCATACTAAAATACATTGACAAGTATTGATGAACCACTGTACTGCAGGAATTTAAAAGGTGTGTGCGTGAGAGAAGCAGAGTCGCCTCAACGTTCTGCGTCTCTCACGTGATCGATAATTGTAGGTCCAGTGCCTTTTCCATTATCGAGCACATTCGAAAGTTTTTTCGCAATGTCTGTTTGAATTCAAAGCTTTTGAAAACGACTGAAATGTTGAAGCGAACAAAAATCAATCTTTGATTAATTTCATCACTCCTGTGAGGTGGAATTCCTATCAATTATCGATTGTTATCGATTTATCATCTCACCAGCTACTTTAAAAATCTTTTTGCAAAGTGTTCAGTTGCCCCTTACTACGCAGGACACAGGTCAGGGGTGAGATTAGGGCCCCTACTTCAAGGAGCCCTTAAAATAGTCACGATGAGCAAAACCCTTGGCAGCACCAGGCTCAACTGGCTTGGGTGAGATGAGCGATATTTATCCCACAGCGACATCGATTTCGTCGTGAACCATTCGCTGCCATACCACTGCTTCACATCTATAACTAATTCTACATGATTCCAGAAGATGATCATGGGTAAGGACACCATCCGGCCCGTCGAAGACAGCCTGGGCGCAGGTACAGTATTTCCTGGCAATGCTTACCGTAGATGGCTTCAAAAAATATTTCAGATACCATCTCAAAGAGACCTCACCAACCACAAGATCCGCTCACTCGAGGACAAAAAGTCAAGCGATGGTTTCGAAAGTATTTTTTGGAAGGTAAATCCGCTCATTTGGTTTCCCTCGATACAATGAAACCAGTGTACCTCACTTTAGGGCAATATTTGGACGACGAAGCCGAGGCTGAACTGCACAAACTGCCAGAAAATCCGACTTGGGAGGATCTGATTTTCATAAAGTACAGAAAATTCGTAGCCATGCTCATTCCGTTCGTTTTGATGCAGGTAAAGGAGAAAAATCGATAACTCACACCCACACAGGATCAATAACTATTTTGAAGACCATTTGGTGGATGATTGCCATCCGACATGATTTCTTCCGATGGTATCCAGAATATTGGCCAATGCCGGTAACAATGATCCTGGGCTCATTCGTTGGAGGTCAGCAAACAATCGATATATTGATTAGTAAATATATGAATGAATTATTTAAATAAATTTTTTTGAATAAATTTCTTCTAGGAATAACGTCAGAAGGAAGTGGAGCTGTAGCGTTTCCCGTCATGACATTGGCCCTTCATATTGCACCATCGATAGCTCGGGACTTCTCCCTGATGATCCAGTCGTGCGGTAAGAATCGATATATTGATTTGTAGACGGCGAATGAATCGATAATCTATCGTTTTCTTTAGGGATGACGTCAGCGTTGATGTGTGTGATGTTTATGAAGGTGAAAATAGAAAATCGTGCTGTTATACTCGGGACGCTTGGAGGGATCCCCGGTTTTATAATCGGAGTCCATTTCGTGAGTTCAGAATGTAAATGAAATAAAATAAATTATGAAGGAAAATGCAATCGATTATTGATTAGATAATCTGATGCATCATGTTTTTTAGGTTGATCCGTATCTCACTGGCCCACAGAAGAAGATGTTGTTTGTGTCTATTTGGACGGCTTTCGCTATCGCTCTGGCTACCCTCAATTGTCAAAAGAAACGTACCACGTACAAAGATATTCCTGATTTCTGCTGGTGGAAAGCTGTAGTGCTGTTTTTCACGGGATTCGTTGGAGGTCAGTAAATCAGTTGGAATTTACTCAATCAGTAGTCCCTGACTACTTGAAATCGCACCCTTTTGTGGAATTCAATAGCCGTTCCCCCTTGAAAAAAAGAGCATGTGGCGAAAAAAAAAGGAAAAACAAGAAGTACTGTATGCATGTTGGTATCTTGAGGTTACTGTAATGGCCAATTATCGGAGCTGTACAAATAATGACATCTGATTTTTCAGGTGTGTTCGATTCGTTTGCCGGCTCGGGTGTGGACATTTGTATTTTCTCGATTGCTACGCTGCTTTTCCGTGTTACCGAAAAGACAGTAACACCAACTACCGTCGTACTCAAAGGTTCGTTTTTGCTTTAGGATCCTTCCCTGTTGTTACATACAGGTCTGTGTAGGTCTAGACTAGCTTTCTGTCCGACACAATGGGAATTCCCAAGAATGCATGTAGAGAAGACCGCCCACTTTAAAATCAAGCTAATACTCCTCGCGAATGTTGAAATAAAATCGCAAAGACGCGTTCAAGTTCATTGACCTTAGAGCACCGGTTGGCAACGGATGGGCTTGGAAGGTGACATAGTGGAGTTCGGTTTAGTATCGGCTGATGAACACGTACAAATGTCTAGATTGATAACAACAACAAAATCGTCCATGACCGGATAGTTCTAGAAATTCTTCTTGAGTCTGACTCATTTTGACCTATCGCCTTGACTACTACTAATATTTCAGGAATAAATGCAGTTTTCGGGTTCTTCTATCGAGCTGCCATGATGGGTGACGTTTCCGATATGGCGTGGAAGTGTTTCGCCCTCTCGGTACCCGTCTCGTCCATCGTGGGTCCAGTGGGCAGCTTTGCTGGCTCTCATCTTCACAGACAAGTGCGATATCCATATTTTGGGCCCAGCTTTTTTGTAAAATCACCATTTTGTGTTTAAACATCTCGATACCTTTCCAGGTTACCGCATTCTTTGTGTACGTTCTGGAACTGGTCGCCCTGATCGGCTTTCTGCTCACGAAGCCTGCATGGCAATTGATTGCCATAGGAGGCAAGTTTCAACTGACCATTACCAACTTGCCCATGAATTCAATCGACATATCGATTTTCAGGTGGAATCATCTTGGGTGGAGTTGTGTTCTTTTCAATTATCTCGAAAACCGGTCAGAGAATTATGGAGAATGTCGAAGAGAAGAAGTTGATTGGGCAGCAGCGACAAGCAGGGGAGGTCTGATTGGTCGGCTGTGAACAAGCCGCAAAAGGCTTCAATTTCCGAGTTTTTCGTCGTCATTCCTAATTTGTTTTGTATTTTAGAAGAATTGACTTCTAAGGTGTACATAGTTGCAGTTGCATTATTTATGATCTCTCAAATGAACTTTTCTGAGTGACTTTGTCAGTTTTTCTGGATAATTGATTGAAGAATCAATCAATATCTCCGCGTTTCGACTTGGTTTCCCTGAAAAAATGCCCGGGTTAATAAGGATAACAGGTTTCAGCACGAATACTTCCTTGGGATGCGCCTCGCACAAGATCCCCAATAACTTTGAGGTATGCAATGGCTTACGCGGAACGACCTGAGAGTTCCGGTGAGTTTTTGAAGTTCCAAAGTATCATTTCTTCATGAAAAGATGGACTAAGGAGCTCGGTTAGCAAAATCCAGCGCTCGGATTGTCTAGGTGCTGACTGAGAGATTTATCCATTGCACAGCATTCACCTCGTCGAAATGCTTTCAGGACGGTGAATTGTAGTCACATATCGAATAGATCCAAAAGGATCGAAGTGGAACAGCGCTTATTGCTCATTCACGAAGTAATTTACTGGCCACACCTCTAACTTCCCTCCTTNCAACAAATAATTCACTGACTTCCTCTCTGACAGCTCAAGACAACTTATGGTTTAGGTGGTCAGCGGTACAATGGGCGTTTTGTCAGTTCCCTAAATGCAGTCTTATTCCATGAGGAGTAATTTGTCGGTTCGATGTTGAGAGTACATGATGGGCCTTCACGGTCCACTGATGAAAGGAGTTGAAATCTTGGTTCGAGGAGAAGAAGGTAAATGGTAATGCCCATGACTACATGGAGAGTCCCTTCCTTTGGGTAAGAAGTTTTGCGGACTGAATTTTTGCTATTACATTTATCAGGCCCAGTTACATAATATTTTATCCCTAATAATGGCCCTTCTGCCAATGAAATGGTTGAAATGCTACATTTCTCCACAGTCGTTGAGGTGTGACCGATTACCCATGCAAATGCCTTACCCACTGTGTGGACTCTTGTGGCTGAGTCGACTCCACGTAAAACAGCAGCTCTGTTGTGTCAGTATTTGACTGTATTTTATTTATTCATACTGTATTCGAGACAGAAATGAATATGCCTGAAAGTTCAGAGTTTAATCAGACTATTCAGAGCACAAAAGTCTTTTTATTAAACGCCTAAGGAAGTATCACCACATAGAAAGTCAAGTGGACAACCGGACACAAAAATCAAGTAGCCATGTAGAAGTACAGCAACAGATGAAAGGGATTCAGGGAGCTTCAGAAAACGCTGAGCACCTCATTTGGCATGCACAATCCATCAAGTGGATCACAGGTCGAGTAGACACACAGTGTGCATGGATCACCAGGCAAATATAGCTCTGTTCCAAGAGGACCCCTAAAACGCGAAGGTATAAGTACAGGAGAAATGGATAAGATAAGGAGAAAAACGAATTCATCGAAGGATAGCATTACTTGTCGTGGATGCGCCATGCATACGAATAAATTTTGGATCACGGAGATGGTTAAGAGGGCTTTGGGAAAGCCATAATACTTAAATGTATGAATTACGGTTTTTTGAACCCAAACGATGGCATTTCCACCCATTGCGCTGTCTAAAAGCACTGATTCACACTTGTTCACTCTCGCAGTAAGGAATTCTTCGCTTATTACCGAGACACTGAGAGGTACCTGTGCAGGTGTTGGAGGTTACAGAAAGACCTCTAAAGATATTACAATCTAAACGCCCCCCCCCCCCCCCCCTGAGTTCAAGGAGAGACTTTTGGTCAGTTCTGAAGCCAGCCCTCTGCCGTCAGATCATTACAGCTTGCAGCCGTAGACAAAATCGGCTTTGACCTATGTTTTCCCTTATTGATTATCGGTAATCGGCAGTTCATTTCATATTCTCCATATTTGTGGGCCGGCCGCAGCGTTACCTTTTTTTTGGTCATTTTAAGCCATCTTTACCACTGTCATCAGTGTTTATGCTGATGTTATATTGGAATTTACTTTTTCCGAAACTCTTTTTTTGGGAATAATCAAGTTCGCCTTCTTTCTGTCATCAGAAAGTTAGTTAAACTGTGCTCAGAAATATTCCTCATGAGTGGATGACTCAATTCTGTCCAGCATTCAGTAGTAATTTGCTTATGCATTTTTTCCGCAGTTTTGTTTTCCTAAAGCTATTACTTCCTGACTGGGAATGGTAATCTGCTCATTTGATCGGAGAAAGAGCTGCCTGTAGCCATTGTGCGTGTGTGCATTTATGTTTACTCGAGAACCCAAAGCTTTTCAAGACGGCGTTCATCTAAAATTTAATCCTTCTCTTCTCTGGATCCCGGATCACCCTTCTATAATGTATGTGACATTAATTCATAGTAAAGGGCTAAGAAGTTACTGTGTCATGTGGTCTCGGGTATGACCAACCCCCCCCCCCCC